ATTTAGAAGAAGAAGAAGATAGTTCCTTCCTTAGAAGCACTTTCTTTTCTTGGCTCTCCTCCTGATAATGTCATCTTCAAGCTCAGCCATCTGGAGTCCCTCCATCATGAGTAACCTGTGAAGTGGTGCGGACCTAGGGATGAGGGACAATTTGGGGGACAGTCCCACCATGTGTCATTGAGCCCTTAGGCTAAGCCTCATGTGCCTGTCCCTTCCTGCGTGGCTACCTGCACTCTACTTCAAGTCATATCAAGCCCTTCCAAATATGGTCTCTGTGACACGTTGATAAACAGGACCCACCTGCCACTGGAACTGTCCTTACAGGGATTTGTCATGCAGTGATCTCTCCAAATAGTGTTGACTCCCTTGCTTATTAGCCATCAGAGAGAGAGAGAGAAAAGGAAGCCTACATGCCCCTCCTTTGGATGAGTTGGGTGCATCCTGTTACTGAACAGTGGCTCTGCAATTGTTGAATGTCTTCACTTAGCATTTAACAGAACCATCTGCATACACACAAACACAGAGGGCTCCTGGTAGGTGTGTGACTAAATGAGCACAGCCTCCTGTGGGGGCAGGGTACCAACTTCTACAAGTAATGTGTCAGCTGGAGCCAGGTCCTGATCTGGGAGCTGACCTCTGCCCTGCTTCAGGGTCAAGTAAAAGGGTCAATGCATACGAGTCACTCACTCCCTATATCCCAGCACTGAGGAAACAGCTTCCTTCCTTTTAATCAGCATTACCTATGTCAGCATATGGCACTGCTTCACATACCTGTACATTTGAGGAGGTCTGCCTCTCCCTTAGCACCTCTCTTGGCCTCACCATCAGTAGGAGGACACATGATCATGTACCAGGAACACAGAGGTCCCCATTGCCCCAGACCAGTGCACACTATGGAGGGTAGACTGTGAGGCTTAGCTTGCTCTAATCTGCAAGTTAACCTGGCTCTGTCTGCACATGTGAAGTGCAGAGGGTCCCCCAGAGAATGCAGAGGCATAAGACTGCCACTGTCTCACTGTGACCTTGGGAAATCACTCAGCCTTGCTGTACCCATCTCACGCCCAGATCATATGGAGAGCAGCACCTGCTTCCCAGCTGCCTCCCAAGACCATGACAGAGATGAAACTGCTTCACTCAGCTGTGCCCAGGTCCTGAGGGCAGGCTGCACAGACACCATGTAAGTACAAAGAAAAGTCATCTCTGAAAATCCCTTTATGCAGCTGCCATTTTCTACTTCACTTCTTTGCTGGAAAGATCAGTCAAATTTTATTAGAACCTGTAGGATCCTAGTAAAAAGAGGAATCTGAGAAGAACTGGAGAAGGGCCATAGCACATAGCCTGTGCAGATGAGCAAACCCACCTACCCTGACAAGAAGACACCTCCTGTGCAAGACTGGAAGCCTGGTCATCCAGATGGGGTTTTATGGCCATACTGGAGCCAACAAACCACAATAAATGTTCATGGAAGTGGAGGGAATGGAATCAGACCAGATGGGAATTACACAGTAAATGCGGGATTGCACTAAGTGCTGGTTTTGTTCCAAAAATGAAGACAGTTAGGAGAAGACTCAGCAAGCAAAAAGGGCCGGTACTGGGTGACAAGGGCCCAATTACAGATGAAGCATGACTGGAAAAGGGGAGACTAAGTTGGTACAGGGCATTAACCTAGAACCAGTGACTCCCATGTCACAGAACCTTCCTTGGCATGGCTGGATTTCCTCAAGAAAGGATCATTACTTACTGAACTTCTTTTTCCTCTTGTTTATGCCTGCTCTTCTCAATTTGGATGCCTGGGCCCACAGCTTTGGTGTCTGAAGCGAGCCTTCAAGGGAGGAATACTTCTGAAATTGCTAGCAAGATTCCCCAACTGGCTTCAGCCACTAGCCCAACAGTCTTAATAGCTTCAAAAGAGGTGTTAAGTTTCCATTTGACTTTTTTTTTCTTTTTTAAACCCGTTACCAGGAATTGAACCCTAGCTCATGGTAGGCAAGTGCTCCACCATTGAGCTACATCCCTAGTCCTTTTATTTTATATTTGAGACAGAGTCTTGCTAAGTTGCCCAGGCTGGCCTGCAATCTATGGTCCTGCTTCAGCCTCTGGTAGCTGGGATTACAGAGCTGTGCCTCACTGCCTGGCTTCTATTTGAGTTTTAAAAATAAAAACATCCCCAAAACCTCAGCCCTCAGGTGCCTGTATTATACACTTTCATGAAATGATCATTCCAGCTTCTAAGCTATATTTACAGTATAATTATGTTATTTTCCTTTCTTCTCAAGCTCTGTGGGTTCTTTCTTGGCTCCATCTATCTGGGCCTTGATTAGAAATCCATGCTAACCAACTTAAGGCTGGTTATTGGAAATCTATTGTGACTGACAGAATAAATGAAATCTCTTTATGTTTAGCCAGCACAACCTGCATCCTACTTGTGCCAGTAAAGGCCTCTGGGGCTTGAGGAATTTGAGAAAATGCAGGGGCTTAGCTTACAGATACAATATCCAAATGGCTCCCTGTTGGCATCAGAGAGCGGGTTTTCATCCCAGGTCCCTGGCACAGGCAAGTCATTAGAATTTGCTCAGGCATTTTCCTCTGCTGCTTCTCTTCTTGCCCCAAGCAGAGCAATTACAATTGAAACACATGGCCAGAGGTGCTGGCAAAGTAAGAACAGAGCTATCACAACTTGAAGGAAAGACCAAGAAAGAGTAATGGGAAGTGCATCAGGAAGGTGCCGAGGTTCCCCAGGAGGCAGCCTTCAACCCACCATTATCTGGGAGGCTATGCTATAAAATAAACAGCCCTGACTATATCACGTTAGCAGATAGGGTACACTGTAGCCATCTCCTCCCACCCCAAATCCCCAGAAATGATGGGAAAGATGTATTTTACAACTCCCTAAAGTAAGTAAGTAAGGTTCCCGTGTAACAGAAACCACGGGCAATTGTGAAAAATGAAAGGCAGATGTTTTATTCTTTCTGAAAGAAGAAACCACAACTCTGAATGCACACAGAAAAAAAAAAAAAGCTGCTGCCAAAGAAAGAGGGGATTCAGAGATACTCTCTATGGGGAGCAGGAGGAGACCAGATACTTGGGTCAGATCTGCAGGCTTGATAATGGTTATCAGCCAGGAGGAAGAGAAATACCAGAAGACGAGCTTCTGATACACTCAGCCAACAACACTTATGATCATAGGACCTGGCCACGTGTCAGGAAGGAGCCATGGTAAGCAGATGCAGTACTCACAAACAGGACACAGGGAATTTCAAGTGTGAGATGAACACACAAACCAGATCCACCAAGAAGTTAAGGAAAGGCAACACCCAAAGTCACAGTACTCAATACAAAAAGAATTTACATGAGAGGAAACTGAGTTTACATAGCAGACACACCAAGATTTAAGAATAATAGCCAGTTGTGGCTAAGGTTTGAGGATCCCAGGGTTCAAAGCCAGCCTCAGCAATTTAGCAAGGCTATAAGCAACCTAGTGAAATCCTGTCTCAAAATTTAAAAAAATTTTAAGAAGGGCTGGGGATGTAGCTTGAGTTTAATCCCTGGTACCAAAATAGTAACAATAATAAGTATAATGAATATACTTAGATGCAAGAGGATAATATCATTTAATTTTAAAAAAAGAGATGACTTTATCACCAAAAAACAAAAACAAACCCATATAGCCCAAACACCACCATGGACATAACTAAAGACTAAACTAGTGATCTGGAAAACTAAGCTAAAGAATCACTCTATGAAATGCCACAAATATCCTATAAATATGTACAATTGCTATGTGTCCATTAAACTATATGTATGTATGTATGTAGAAAAAAAAATCTCTCTAGAACTGTAACTCTCTGAAAGAATAGCCAATAGCCATATGCAGCTACTGAGCACTTAAAATATTGGCTAGTCTGAACTTGGGATTTTTTTTTTCTGGTACTGGGGTTTGAACCCAGAAGGCTTAATGACTGAGCACATCTCCAGCCCTTTTTTATATTTTATTTAGAGACAGGGTCTCACTGAGTTGCTTAGGGCCTTGCTTTTTGTTGAGGCTGGCTTTGAACTTGAGATCCTCCTGCCACAGCCTTCAGAGCCACTGGAATTACAGTGTGCCACCATGCCCAGCTGTACTTAGGATTTAATGTAATACATGAAGTACATACCTGGTTGAAATGATATTTTTAATACATTGGGCTAAATGTGTTCTTTTGTAGTTGGACACGATAACTTTTATTTTATTTATCTATTTATGTGGTGCTGAGGATCGAACCCAGGGCCTTGCACATGCAAGGCGAGCACTCTACCGCTAAGCCATAATCCCAGCCCCTAGATGTGTTTTTAAAATGAATTTCACCTGTTCATTTTTTTTCATGTGGTTACCATAAAATTAAAAATTACATGTGTGGTTCATATTACATGGACAGTGCTGCTATGAAAACAAAAGCAAAAAGCAACAGTAAGTATGAAAAGTTAGGATATAGAAGATACAGCTGGATGAACTCTATCTGCCTCTCCTTGCAAAAGAAGAAAAAGAAGGTAGGAGAAGACATACTGAAATAACAGGGAAATTTCCCAGGACTGAATAAATACATGAGGCCCCTCACCAAAAAGGGCCACCAGTGCTGAGGGAAAACAGTGCCACTAAAGGTGGCATGCAGTTAAGGGTGCCTGTTTTCATGTCACCATGAGTGTACATCATCCCAAAGGTTCTAGCCACTGCAAACAACCTAACAGCAAAGGAAAGGAAGAGACATCTTCTTATCTGCAGATGGGATAACTGCCTGCATGACTCCCCTCCACCCACCACTCTGCTTTTGAAAGGCCTAGCACAAACTTGGCTTCTCCATTTCTGGCTTCCAAGGCCTGGGCAAAAGTAGAACATAACTAGCACGTTCTCTTCAGGTAGTCCTGTGTGATCAGGAAGAACTGACATGAGCAGCCAAGAGAGCCCAGAACTACGTCTTCCTCCATGGGGTAAGTCACAAACGGGGACGTGGAAGGGTGCTTACCGACGGATGGCGTTGGCGAACTCTGCAGCCAGCTCGCTCTCACTGCATGTTGTCCTTAGTTCAGCCAGTGACAGAGCTGGGGAGGCAGCATCAGCACATTCCTGAGGACAGCAAACACATTCTTGTCAGGGCTGAAACCGAGCCTGAGAGCACCTGGAACTTAAATCTGCTGCAGAGCATGTAGGGTGAACAGCGTGGGGCTGGTAGCCTCAGATCAGGGTGCAGGGGAAAGCCTGGCAGCAAACCATAGGCAGCCCCCTCTGCTCTAAGACTTCCGGATACCTTTGCAGGCTGCTTGGCAGCAGCCATCATGACCCCCAGTGTGCTGAGAGCCCACGGGGGCTGGCACTGGTCTAAGCCCACCACATACATTCACTCATGGAGTCCTCCTGAGGACCCTCTGACGAAGGTACTACTGTGATCCTCACTTTACCAGAAAGAAAATCGTCAGAGAGAGATCACACTGCCCTGTCACCAGCCAGGAGATGGCAGCTCTAGGACTGAAATCCAGGCTGTCTGGCTTCAGATGAGTCTCTTCAAATAAGCAATGCTCATGAATATCCTAGTTGCCCCATCCTACTTCTCTTGGGGAGAAAGCCAGTTTTCTCTAGATTTAGGAACTTTACTGGGTTCCATGTCATCATCTGGAAAACTCAAGAAAGGAGAAGAACAAATGCACCCCATGCACCTCACCTTCCCTCATGTAGTATTATCAGACAGGGACCGTGTATCATTTAAGGCGAATTCTCCCCTTTTGCAGCTGAGAAACATAAGAAGCTAGAATTCCTGAATCCCAGAGGTAAGACTTCACAAGCAGCAAGCATGCCCGTGTGACTGTTCTACTTTACAAACAGAGCTGCGGTGACACTGCATAATGAGGTGGCCATTGGGAAGGAACTCATCAGATGATGTGCTCAACAGACATCTGTACTGAGGGTCTATCATGCTCCAGGCCACAGAATAAAAAGCCTGTGATCTGTTGCAGGAGGTGGAACGTAAACAGAAAATTCTGTTACTGTGGGATGAATCCAGTGCGGCAAGTCCAGATGACAGGAGGGACCCTTTTTCTCAGCCTACTCTTACAGAGAAACAATACCTACCCCGAGGGATCCTGGGCAGCAGCACATCCAACACCTGAACGCTCTTCTCTCTGGCGTGCCCTCTACCTGGGCTTGCTCCTGTCCTTCTAGCTGTCCTCACAAAGCCAAGCCTGCCCATAGCAGCCAACGGCATCTGTGAGATCCCATAACACCCTTGCTTTTTGTACATCTAGTCTCTGATGTTGACATTCCACACGATTCCTTAAAGACAGGGACTGCCTCGTCTCACAGTGCCTGTTGCTGAATATATGTAGTAATGTCTGTTGCGTGTAGACAAGGACTACAAAAACCGAACACCACTTGGAGTGGATTTTGGACCCAGCTTATTAGCTGGAGGGAAGTTTTTAAACAAGCAGGGATATCCACCCAGTGGAACAAGACCCAAATGTGGCCCACCACCACCCGGTTATATACAGCCCACGGGTAGAGACTGTTTTTTCTTTCCTAAGAGTCATTGACAAAAAGTCAAATGAAGAATATTTTGTGATGGCAGACATTGCATGAAATTCAGATTTCAGTGTCCATCAAGAAAGCATTAATAACAACAGCCACACCCACTGGTGTCCTAGGAGGGCAGGGACATGACCCACAACCCTAAAATATTTACTATCTGCTCCTTTCCAGAAAAGTTTGCTGATCCCTGCTCTAGACCGTCGGCCTCATCTCCAGCAAATAAGACCAACAAAGAAGACTAGCCCAGAGGGGAAATTTTATTGAAATAGTAAATAGATACAATATTTGAAAATAGAGTAGGCTGATTATCAAATATTAGATCTATTTACTAAGTGAATTTCCTAACACTTATGAGGGTACATGGGAACCCTCATAAAGCATCTTACTGTAATGTTAAAAAAAAGTCATCTGGCCTTCTCTATCAGAGAAATTTCTATATTTTGAAGTACTCCACCAAACACAGTGCTTCCCCCAGTCAAAATAAATACCAGGTATTAGGAGACAATGCTTAGCTCAGGGGGCCTTTGGCAGGAGCCTGGTAAATCCATCCCCACCCTATCCTCAGAACACACACAGACGAGAGCTCTGTCTCTCAGGCTCAGTCCCCAGTTGACCACTAACAAACTTGAAAACCTATAAAAGATCTTGAGGGTGTTTTATGGGACAGAAAATACTACCATATGACTTGTACCATGTAGGGTGCTGCCCACCCCACCCCCAACATGACTCCCCAAGCTCTGGTTCACTTGCCAGTGTCTTTTCCAAAGCTCATACTGTATCACATCACTCCCTGCAGACAGACTTTTCCATGGTTCCTCACTGTCCTCAGGAGAACATGGCTGGCTGACCCCTCCACCATCGGTTTCCTCTTTCCTCTGTATTGCATATGCTGTCCCGTTGGCCTAGAGAGTGTGTGCCTTCTCTCCCCTAGTCCTCCAGACCAGCCCTCTTCAGCAGGCTAGTTCCCATCCTCTGTGGGTCTCAGTTTAGAACCAGGATCATTTCTTCCAGCAACCTGTACTGAATCTTCCTTCAAGTCTGAACTCTGTGGCCAACTCACGGTCTCCCATAACCCTGAAGTTGATACCGGCACTTGGAACACCCCATCACTCCACCCTGATCATGTCTACCTATCACCCTCCCCTTCAGAATATAAATTCCTGGAGGACAGTCCTCATTGGTCTACCATGAGGCTGCCTCCTGCAGCTTGCCTAGGTCCCAGCATACTGTGTCAGATGACACTTCTCAACTGAATGGATTACTGAGAGCAGCCAGGGTCCAAGAGAGCTGGCAAGATTAGGTGCCAGGCTGTGTGCTTTCCAGGTTCCTCACCAGGAGTAGAGAAAGTTGTAGCTGTGGCCATTTGTGAAGCATGCTGCAGAGCTCTGAGGTATTTAGATAGTGACAATTCATACTATATGGTACCAGCACTGTCCCTTCCTTCCTTGGTACCCAACTCTCGGGGAGACCTCCCTGCCCTTGTGCTGAGAGGCCGCTTACAAAACAAGTCAGCATATGCCCACAAATTCTAGGTCAGAAACAAACTCAGTTTAGGAGAAGCTGCATTTATTAGTATGATGCATAGAATAAAACAGTACCCCAGATGAGGAATATAATTCTTTAGGGTCCAGAGCTTGCTTCCCCCCCCCCCCGCTTTCCTTTTTCAATGCAGTTATTTGGAACAGAGAAAGAATGAGCTTGAATTCTAGGAAAAAAGACCTGGGGAGCTGATAGGTATGCAGGTTTACAAAATTATAACACCAGACACACACACACACACACACACACACACACACACACACACACACACACTGATGTTGTACATGCTCTGTAATCCAAGGCCGGTCCCTTCCTCCCCTGCCCTCAGGCTGCTTCCTGTTCACCACCCACTGTGGCTGAAATGCTGCCAGGGCAGAGGAGGCAGGCAGATGAGGGGAGGCCAGCCTGTCAGCCAAGTGTGGGTTTAAGCCTGATGCTGCTGTTTTCAGCTAGAGACCCCTCGCTTCTTTAGAGCCTCACCTTCCTCATATAAATGGACACAGATATTCCTACTAATACAGTGATTAGCCCAGAAGTACCACAAATCAACAAATGATGGCTGCAGGATGCAGGGGGACTATAAGAAGGTGAGACCAATATCAGACCACTGGGCCATCACACAGACCACTCTCTGATTAGACTGCCACGTGTGAAAATGTTTTGTGAGATTTGTTTTTTTCAATGTGAATTTGGTTTCTCTATGCTCAATGTCATCCTGTTAGTCATCTAGGAATGAGCAGCAGCTCATATCCAAACAAGGAAACTGAGGCAGTTGGATAGAGATGTCAGTGGTCATTTGCAGGAAGTACCACCTGAGCCAAGGGTGCCCTGTGCCACCCAGCCCTACCTTGCTGGGCTTGTCCTTGCTGCTGCTGCTGGTGGAGCTGAGGGACCGCATCCGCTGTTCCTTCTGCTCCTCCACCTCGGATTTGAGGTGCTCAATGTGCACCAGGTAGGCCTGCTCCTGTGCCTCGCGCGTGCTCAGCTTCAGCTCCAGGGCCTTCTTCTCTTTCTCCAGTAGGTACAGTTGTGCCTTCAGCTCAGCCATCTCCTCCTACAGAGTGAGGAGCACAGGGTATATGAATGCCCGTTATGTGCCAGCACCAACTGTCATGGGGGTCTGGCTACAACCCAGGGCCTGCGATAGTGATCACTCTGAAAGTGGGAATAAGATTACTGAACAAAGATGGAACTGATGTGTGGACAAAGCTATATGCTTTGTTACTATAGGGACTAGCAGTAAGTAAATGGGTACAAGTCATAGGAAAGCAGATTTTGGTTCAGTGTAAGGAAAGCCTTCCTAATAGTTCCTAGGACCCCCAATGGGCACACTTTCCTTGTTGGAAACCAGTTCTCTGGCATATAGAGGCTGAGCTGGAGCAGCCCAAGGTTGTACATCCATGTAAGAAGCTGGGTCTCACTGGGTCCCTTCTGATTCCCACTCAGTTGCTATGGCACCAATCTATATATTTAACCACCCCAGATGGCACCCTTGTGACCCTGCAGCTGAGCCATGCAGGTGGGGGACTCCCATCACAACAGCATCCTCTAGCTCTTGACTACTTCTGAAAGCTCCAGTGAAAGCAATAGGAATGGAGTCCTTTATACGGGATTTCTCTTCAGATAACTTCTCTTTCAGTGCTGGTGATTAGACCTAGAGTAGCCTTGTGCATGCTAGGCACACAACCTACCACTAAGCTCACCCCTGCTAGATAACTTCTAAGAGAATCTTAAAGGATTCAAATGGTTGTTTCCTATAGAGAGTAAGAAGTGAATGCCAAATGGGACAACACTAACTTTGGACCACCAGCCTCTATTGAGCACATAATACTGTTTTAAGGGTTCACAAGAAGTAACTCATTTATTCCTCCCAATCCAAGATAAGTACTATAAGCATTTTCATTTGTGAATGGGAAACTGAGGCATGCAGAGGGACATTCACAGGCCCATGGCTCTGGACAGCTGGAAAGCCAGAGTTGGAACCCAGGCTGTTGGGCTCAGAGCCGAGGCTCATCAACACTAAGTTCCGCTGCTTCCTCCCTGCTTCAAGATGTGCCTGATCATGACTGTGGCCCTTCACCTCTACTCAAGAGTGGGTCACCACTGTGTGACCATCAGCCTAGCTTCCCCAATGGTTTATTTCTATGATTCCTTGCTCAAAAGGGATCTGCAGAAAGCTGGGCTGCCTTAAGATGGACTCACCAAGGCCTTTGGTTCTGGCTGCCCCTGATGGTAATGAACTGGTATGCTCTCCTGGGTACATGTTTTTACCCTTCAAGGTAGTTTAAAGCCTTCTCGGGGATACAGGAGAGCTCAGAATTAATGAGTTCAGAAGAACAAGCCAATTATTAATGAGCTCAGAACAGGCCATTTTTTTTTTCCTGGAAGACCAGGCATAAAAATCAGAATGAAGAGTATTTCCATCCCAGAAACCTTCTCATCTTTTCCCATCAGAAGCAGGATTGTGAAGGTTCTAGTAACACTGCATATGGAGCTAATGTGCACATTCACTCAAACATAAATGCAAGTTAGAAAGAAGAGAAGGAAAACTCATAGGTCTATAGATGAAGAGAGAAGTCCAGCAAGGTGGACAGAGGTATGAGGCAGGTCTGCAGGCCCTGCCATCTGGGATCTTATCATCTATGCAAGGGTAGGTCTGTGACTCTGGGACTCTCAAAGTATTGTCCAAAATAAGAGACTAGAAAAATTCCTTTCTGGCAATTTGGTTAAAAAAATTGTCATATCTCAAGCTTTATGGGAGAATAAAGAAAGAAAAGGCCCTTTTGAGGAATCAAAACCTCAAACTTCTGTCATATGTATGTGTGGTAGAGGAAATCTTAAGCCAAGAATGTACCCCAAACTAGCAATAAACCTCTGAAACCCACAGGTCTCACCCATCTAAACAGAACTATTCTGCAGGGACAGCAACAAACCAGGGCCCACAGGACCCCCAGACACAGGATGTCCACAGATGAGCCTGTACACATGTTCTCCACCTCCCATCACAGGAAATGAGAATGAAGCACAAAGAGGGAGAATCAGCAGACACAACAGAAGTGAGAGCTGGCATTCACAGAAGCAGAAGTAACAGAATATGAAAAACTAATATTTCAAATGATTCATGGAATAAAGGAGTAGGGGTCACAAAGAAAGCATAGGTCATCCAAAAAAGAAGGGTGGATTTTTAAAGTGACCAAGTAAATCGTCTAGAGGCAAAAAGGTATTTACCAAGAATCATATACAAGAAGTAAAAAAAAAAAAAAAAAAAAAAAACTCAGAAACTTGAGTGTCTCTGTAGTTATATTCTAGAACAAAATGGTAAAAATCTAACAAAAGCTGCTGGATTACAGAGCATGTACAACATCATCAGTCTGTACTGATGAGTATGTATTGGCAAACACACTGGGGAAAAGGCAATGGGCTGATGCTTAGCCTTGGGCAGTGATGACTCCCCATCCTGAGGTTCAGGCTATGGGTTGTCTCTTCCCAGCTCTCTGTAATTTTTACTCTTTCAGCAAAGTTCTAAAATCATGCATGTTTTATTTTCACATAGCAAAAGGAATATCAGAGAGCTTTTATGCCACAAAAGCATGTCTTTCCTGGCCAGTATAACACTGAATTTGTCACACCACATGTTGGCCACAATATAAAAAGGAAAATTTTAGTCTATGGCCAAAGGAAATATGAAGTTTGGAATAAATAATGGAAGGGTGGCCTCGTGGCTCATGCCCACAGGGTGCAAGTGTCCACAAAGAGGGGGCTCCTAATTGGAGCCACTGTGATTATAGACCCAAGGCCAGGTCCTGGGCAGTGAGAGGAGAGATCAGCTAGTGTGATATGAGAACTCTCCAGGGAGGAAATCTGAACCAAGGGGCTGGAAGGAGACAAGCAAGTGTGGACATGGAGCAAAATGGTGGGCTCCCCACATCTGTACCCACTGCCCAGAGTCTTCCCAGACACAAGTTCCAGCACCCAAGGGCAAGGACTTGCTGAGCAGGGTGCCCAAGTGCGTTGAGATACTACTACTGACAGCCTCTGACCTCTCTCCAGAGGCCATGGGGAATCTTTCTGGGGACAATACTGGTCTCCATGGTAGAGAAATGTTGTGGGCTATTTCTGTGGCATTGCTGTGACCCACTCTGCCTCCAGTTCCTAAGCTGTGAGCTGGCTTTTGCCTGAGAATGCCCACGGCATGTCCCAACGCCTGTGGGCCAGGGACATGGTAGAATCCAAGACTCTGCAATTCAGGCCACTGTTCACAAAACAGCAGAGTTTGGAAAGCAGGTTTAGAGAGATGGCTCCCAGGCTCTAATTCTCCCTGATCACCTGGCAGTTCAGCCCAGTGCTGCCCCAGGTCCTGCAAGAGCAGCCCAAGCAAGCTCCCACCTCTGTGAGTCAGCAGAGCCACAGGTAAACTGCTTACCAATGAGTGGCAGCCGTTTTCCCAGAAGCTCCCTCTGCCCTGCAAATGCTGATAGAGAACTCAGCCAGTGGGTGAATGGCCCAAGATCTTACAGGATATTTAGCCTAAACAGCATCGCCAAACTTCCCTGCAGACACTGTGGTCTGAGCAGGCTTCACACTGCACCCACGTCTCCAGGGTGTCAAAAAACACAGGGTTCTCAGTCAAGTTCTGCAGCTGGCCTCACCCTGGTCTGGCTCCACCTCCAGTTAACATCAGCATTAGTGACCCAAGAAATACTTTCACACATTCTTGATATTAGAGGCCATTGTAAAAGGACAGAGGCTTATTCTAGCCTGTTGATGTCTGGCTTGACTTCTCTTGGAGGAATAAGTATTCTAGAACTCAGCTGAGACACCCCAAAGCATCCTCTAGAATGTAACCACCCCTCCATGAATGTCCAGCCCAAATGACCCCTGGATAAATGGAAACCACACTGTCTACTAGCAAGGCTCTGACTCTACTCTGGGGAGAAGAGGCTGAACATGGATGGCGATGATTTCTAATCTGCTGACCCCACCCCCATTCCCAGGCCTGTGATCTCCCCACCAGGCCAGCAGCAGGCTGACCCCACAGCACACCTTCATGGCCATCAGCTCCTGCATCAGCACCGCATTCTCCAGGTCCAGCCTCTGGCTGTCCCCCCGGGGCTTGACGTCATAGCTGAGCGGATCGATGTGGATACTCTCCAGCTCTAACATGGTCAGCTTGACCGCAGCTCTGTCATTCTTGAGCTGCTGGATATAATCCTTCAGCCTTTGCTCATCTTCTTTTGTGAACTCGGTGTCGCAGCTGCTGGCTGTGGAGCTCGTTGTGCTGAGAAGAAAAGAAAAACACCACATTTCCAAGCCATTACTAGTAGATCTTTTCTCATCCCTCTCCCCCAAATTATCTAGATGGTAGTGGAAAAAAAAAAGTATTTTTAGCCAGATGTGGTGGTGCACACCTGTAACCTCAACAACTAGAGAGGCTGAAGCTGGAAGGTCACAATTTAAGGCTAGCCTGGAGAATTTAGACCCTGTCTTAAAAAGAAAAGGGACTGGGGATACAGCTCAGTGGTACAGTGCCCCTGGGTTCAATCTCCAATACCACAAAGAATATATATTTTATGACACAGAATACTGATACTACCTTTTAAGCAAGAAATAAGTATGAAGAATAATAAAAATGTTTATACTTTGAGGTAACATTGTAGACTTTAAAACTGAACTACAAGGATAATCCCACAGAAGCAAAAAGATACACATGTACAAAGCTGTTTGACATATATAATCTAAAATAAGGTTTAGTGTATTATTATACATCAGAAGGGAGAGAAATGATGTGGACATTATGGTGATAACCATGAGTACAGTAGAGATATTTTAAGTGAGTCAGTAGAATGAAAACTACATGTAATAAAAATAGATGCACATGTGTAAGAGATAACATTAAGGGAACAAGAGATTGAAGAATATGATCTACATGGCATGATCTATAGCTATGTGTGTGCACACACACTCACAAGCACACGTATCCCAGAGTGGCAGCAGTCCCCTGGGGTGGAATGTGGAAGGAAGGGTGGTTTTGCATTGATTCCTCTATTGCTTATTGTACCCCAAGAAACAGGTGAGTATAATATAGCAAGAACAATGCTCAAAGTGGGTGACTTAGTTCTTCACAGCACATTCTTAAGTTGTCCAACAGAGGGTCTTGGTCCAATCCAGGTGGCCCTTGGCAGCTCAGGTTGCACAGCAACTGGGTAGGTGCACCCAGCTGAAGCTTGGGCCTTTGTTGGCACAGGAGAGTTTCTGAGGGACCAAATCACCAAGAAAGGGAAAGGGCCACAGAAAAACTGAGGCTCAAGAGGATTCCAGCCTGTCCCAGCAGTGGCAAGCTGGCTGCATTAGCTCAGAATGAGCCACTGCACCTAGGCCGTCCTGGAGGTTTCTGAGCCCCATTGGACCCACAGCAATTTCTCTACCCACACTGGGCCTGCCTAAGCTTGGCTCACTCCTCTTGGAACTGGTTTTGGAAAAGATGGAAGATTGAATTCTCAACCAAACAGGGCAGGCTGGCATTATCATCACCATTATTACAGATTTAGAAACCAAAGCTCAGAGACATTAAGTGGCTGGTGGAGTCATGGGGCTGAAAGTGGTGTAACACTTGGCTGAGGATTCTTATTCCACAGCTCTGTCCTCTTCCCAAGATTCCTGCAGCTAGAAGCCAGGCAAGAAGCAGGGAGAGGTCTCCACAGCCTGCCCTCTGGATCTTGCACTGGAATAGGGCAATGGGCAGAGGAGTCCGAATCAGCAAGGGCAATTCCACTCTTGCACATGAAGGAGACAAAGCTGGGTGCAGTGGCCTGTGACATGGGAGGCTGAGGCAGGAGAATCCCTGAAGTCCAGAAGTTCAAGGCCTGCCTAGGCAAGACCCTGTCTCAAAACAGAGAAGGCTTCCAGGGAGATGAAGGGTGAGAAGAGAAGGTGGGTTGGAGCCTTCCTGGGTCCACATGAGGAAAAGACCACTTTATGGCTCAGGTGGCCTTTGAGTCAGAGAATAACTTCCAGGACAGCTAATTCCTGAGTACCAAAGACCTTCAGTGTAGCCCCTCACTCCTTTTGTCCCATCATCACAGAAAAGAAGTCACTGGGAGATGAAATGAGACCAACCTGACCATCTTACACCACCCCTCGGGCAGTGGGAGGTGAGGGAAATGTCCGTGGGGCTGGGCCACAGCGCCCAGGTACTTGCAAAACATGTCTAGATGGTGCTATGAAGGCATATTTTAGATGTAATTAACATTTAAGTCATAAGACTCTGAGTAAAGAAGATTAGTCCCCATAATATCCTCATCCAATCAGGTGAAAGCCTTAAAAGACTGATACCCCGCAAGAAGGAAGAAATCATGCCTCCACAGCCTCCAGACTCAGGACTCAACAAGGACTCTTTCTTGTATCTCCACCCTCACCTGAAGACCTCAGACTTGCCAGCCAATAATCAAATGAGTCGATTCCTTCAGATGGTCGTGTGTGTGTGTGTGTGTGTGTGTGTGTGTGTGTACAGACAGATAACATATTGACACCTCTCCAGCACTCTACTAGATCCACTGCCTATTGGTTCTCTGTCTCTGCAGAGCTCTAACACTGAAGTGCTGCTTTTACTCCTGACCTGAGCGTCTTACATTTTGTAGATTTCCTATTTCATCACCAGTAAAATGAAAGTAATTATCAGTACCTGCTCCATAGAGATGTGGGAAGGAAAAATATATATCACTGAGGTGCTTAGACAGTGCCCAGTGTAGGGTAAGCACACAACAAATGTAGCTGTCATTCATTTATTCAAGAAATACCAGAGTGCCTCCTGAGTCCTGGAAAAGTCCTTGCCTGAGCAGAACTCCTATTCCAACAGGGGAGCCAAGCAATTGTGTGACTGATATACTGTGTGAATGACATAGTACATCAGGCAGTGAGGAGCATAGTGGAGAACAATGGAGAGAGACACATGGGGAGGGCAGAGTGGGGTGGGGTCATTATCTAACAAGGTCTGCAGGGCAATGTTACAACTGAAGGGACCAAAAGGAGGCAAGAAAAAGAGCTATGAGGATATGTAGAGGAAGACTGCACTGGCCAAGGACACAGCAAGTGCAAAAGCCCTGCAGCACTGAACTTGACTGGCAGCAATGAGATAGTGGCAAGCCAAGTCAGCCAGGGAAGGAAGAAGGAGAAGAGGTCAGAGAGGAGGCTGTGCACCGTTCCACATAGGATTTTATAAGGATTGCATCTTTTTCTCTAGAATTAGAATGCAAGTTATTGAAGTGGTGACAAAATCCACCTATTACATTTTAACAGGACCCCTCTGGCTTCTATGCTGAGGAGAGATGCAGGGAGGACAGGGCAGAAAGAGGGAGAGCCCTTAGGAAGCTATTGCAATAGTCCTGGGGAGAGACCGTGGAAGTCTAGCAGGGTGTGAGCTGGGAATGCAGGGAAAGGATAAAAATAATCATTACTGATCACTATTTTGTTTTCTTCAGCTGTCTTTTAAAAAGGATGAGAAGGAAGAAGCACCTTTCCACACCTTGAGTGCTGTTCCATAAAGAAATGATGCAGCTCAAAGAAGCAGGACTGATCATACAGTACCCAGAGTGCAGGGCCCTGGTGAGCTGGGCGGCACATGAGAGAAACTTCCTCAAAAGAGAAAACAAGGGTCCCTCGCTCAGCATCACAGGAAAGCCCTGTCTGTAGACAGCTCTGTGGTGGGTATGCAGTGCACAGACGGGACTCAGGAGCTCACCTCAGGCTGTCAGCATTGCCATGGAGAGACAGACATTTTCCCCAGACGAATGAGCAGGAAAATTAAAGCAAACTCAGGTGTTGGCATTGTTCAGCAGGCGTTCCGTGGGGCTGAGCGTGATGTTTGCAGACAAGGTGGGTTTAGAAAGCGAGGCACTGGGGAATAGCAGGGCTTCTCTTCTACTTAGTTGGAAGGAGCTCTCAGGAATGAACTCCTCCCCCATGAAGCTGGGACTCAGCCCCCCCAAATCAACTTAAACCTCTAGCCTTTCCTTCCATTGAAAATTATAAAATTTCAAATGCATAGAAACACACAGACAATAACCAATACCCACGTGCCTGCCATTTACATGACACCTTGTTTTCTTCTACTACTGTTTTTAGAAACACACCTTTCATATTTGAAGCACCCTCAATAGACTTTCATTTGAAATAAAAATTGCAAAATTCAAATAGGACTAAGAGTCATAGTACTCTTCATTATTCTGCAGACCTTGAGTGATATTTTGTCAGATTTTTCCACTTAGCAAGATCAGTCTACCTCAAGAAGGATCCCTGGGCTGGCCACATTAGTGATGCCTGGGTTCTTGTCAGGAGTACACATTCCCAAGCCTCATGCCTCAGACCCATAGCGTCAGGGACTCCACTAGGTGGCCCAGCAATCTGTGTTTTAATAGAGATTCTGATGCAAGTCTGAGAACTTTTGTTCTTAAGTTTGTCTACCCCACAGGATAAACCAGCATCTTCTAGTAACTGGACACCCTCACATTTTTCTAGGTAGAGGCCACTATGCTCCCAGGTTGCTTGGGCGGATGCCGCTGGCTTCCAGCACATCTCTGAAATCAGTCCATAGATTCTTCCTCTGGCCCTTCCTAACCTCACAGGCCTGAGTGAATTACACAAACTTTCTACACTGCAATAAATAGGAACACTAATGGTTCACACTTCCCCAGGCATGAAAAGGACCAGCTCATGCGGCCACAAAGCTCTTGTTCTAGGCAAGGAACAGGGATGGGGCCACTTTCCAGATAGCTGGGCCAACAGTCACACAACACCCACCCCAGACCTAGGGATCCTCGAGGGGCCAAGCCATTGCAGCCATCTAGAAAACCCCCATCTGAGAAGAAAAGTCGTTTCCACTTGAATTGACTTTAAAGATCACTTAGAACTGTTTGGGAGAGCTGGGTGTGGTGGACACCTGTAATCCCAGTGACTCGGGAGGCTGAGGCAGGAGGGTTGCAAGAGGTCAACAGCCTCATCAACATAGCAAGATCCTAAGCAACCTAGTGAGACCCTATCTCAAAAGAAAAAATAAATAAGGGTCAGGGGATATGGCTCCGTGGTTAAGTGTTCCTGGGTTCAATCCCCTGTACCTGCCCCTCCCCCAAAAAACTACTTGGAAGAACAGCTGGAGATGATCCCTGGTTGAGTAAGAAGGCTTTTTGCTATAAGCATAATTTTCAGAAAGGAATTAAAAAAAAAAAAAAAGATCTCAGTTCACAGATCTGACCCTGTTGGAAGCTGACAGCCTTAAACTGCTCT